GAGTCGGACAAAACTAAAGTGACTTAGCAGCAGCAGCATTTCTCTAATCAGGGATATCTTATCCATTGCTTTCCAAGATCCCCAGAAAGAAGGAAAAGGTATGCATGCTAAGCTTCATAGAAACAAGAACCAGCCCTTCCCAACTTCCCAGAATTGCAGGGACAATACAGACATCCCTGTGAACACATCCTAAGGCATGTGGGGTGGAGGTGAAGAGTGCGAACAGCAAAGGCTAAGAAGAGAATTGCTTCCCAAGGAAGCCCAATTAAACTGCAATTACTCGAGATAAGAGAACCAAGTCTGTTTATACAATGGGGCTGTAAACCACCAGCCCATTACAAGAGAACTTTGATCTGGTGGCAGGGGAGCTATTTCTGGTCCAGGGTAGAGAGGAAGCAGGGAGGTTTCTCAATAAGAGAAATAAGAATGGCTCCACTCAACCCAAAGTCCCATCTTGTTCTGGCCGAACCCTTGTAAGGACAAAATCAATGGAATCACCTCCACCTCCCTGTGTCCATCTCACACAATCGAAAAGTCCAGAGAGAAACAGAGAAGTGATGGTAAACACAGGGAAAGGGAATTAACTGAGGTCATATTTCTGGCTGGTGTCACGATGACCTGACATGGTAAGTTATACCCTGTGCCTGTTTTACAGGCCAGAATACTGAGGTTCAAAGGTAGTAATTTGCCCAAGGTCACGTGGGTGAGGAGTAGCAGACCAGAATTTAACTCAGGTCTTTCTGACTCCAAAGCCTAAGTGCTTTCCGTGCTATTGGATTGGCCAAAAAGTTCCTTTGGGTTTTTTCATAAGCTGTATGGAAAAACCTGAAGGAACTTTTTGGTCAACCCAGTGTGTGGCCAGGCTATGTTCCACAGCTGTCTGGCCCAAGCCAGAAGGCTCAGGGCCTTGCATGTGGCCTGACACTCTGAACAGTCTCCCTTGCCTGGCATATTGCTATAGAGTAAGTCCCCTACATAGGAACCTTCAAGTTGCGAACTTTCAAAGACACAAGCGTGCATTCCATCATCGTCAGGCGTGAGTGACATTACAGCTTGCCCCCTGTCTCCTATTGCAATCCCCCGCCTCGTCTCCATCCTCCAGGCAGTAATTCTTCCTGCCTGTGCACCCGATGCCAGCCCTTGGATGCCAGCTTTTGTACGGTACTGCTGTTTTTGTTTGTGTTTATGTTTTATGTATTATTTGTATGAAAAGTATTATAAATCTGTTACAATACAGTATTACAGAGTGGGTTGTTAGTTGGGTACTGGACTAACTTTGCTGGACTTACAAACAAACTGGACTTACAAACTCGCTCTCAGAACGGAACTCATTCATCTGTAGGGGACTTACTGTGTAAGGGAACTTACTGCATGCCCAAAGGCCTGAGCTCCGAGAGGAGGTGTGTGTGTTCCTTCCCTCTGAACAGTTCAAGGTGCTTTCTAAGCTCGAATGACCCAAGGACCTCCTCCACACACTGGTGAGGGAGCCAAGGACAGGGATGTGCGTGGTCCAAACCAGGGGCAGCCTGCCCCGGCCATTACTGCCCTGCCCCGCTCTCAAGGCTCAGCAGTGTGAAGGGGAGGATGACGCAGGAGAGGACCAGGGGTGCGAGGGACTTCCAGGCGCAAGGCGGCAAGCTCTCCAGCCAGCATAACAGGAAGGAGTGCTTCCTCCCACTGCATGAAAGGGCCCCTGACACACAGCCCATATAAGTACCTGCAAACGTCACCCCACTCCCACACAATGGCCAGACAGCTTCCAGAAGTGTTGTTTCCCTGCCTCCCCTTCTGCGACATCACTTCTTTCATGAAGGTCTCCCAGGAGCCTGACCTTCCAAAGGGGAGAACTTGTGTCCTGCTTTGGACAAAGGGGCTCGAGACAGATTACGTGAGTTCTGCATACAATGGCTTTTACCCGAGGGATGGGATGAATTTTTGCAACTGTTGCTGTGATTATTTTAAGCCTTCTCCTGGTAGAGCAAATGATCAAATCATACTATTGCCAGCTCCAATTCTCAGTCAAGGACTCTGAGACTGAGTGGTCTTCAAGAGTCTAGAAAATATTTGTTGTCTTGGTTTAGATTGTTTCTTGGACAACTAAAGCAGTCTGTTTAGCAGAAACCCTGGTAACATGAATATAGTCTCACTTTTTTTTTTCTTTTTTAAGATTACCCTTTCAAACACAAGGAGTTACACTCAGTACCAGGCTTCCCAGGTGGTTGAGTGGTTAAGAGTCTTCCTACCAATGCAGGAGATGCGGGTTCAATCCCTGGGTCAGAAGATACCCTGGAGAAGGAAATGGCAAACCACTCCAGTATTCTTGTTTGGAGAATCCCAAGGACAGAGGAGCCTGGAACAGTCCCTGGTCAGACACAACTTGGCAACTAAACAACAACACATAGTACTACCCCTCCTTCAAACCCGATCTTGTGTCCATTCTAGAGCACAGCTTCTCAACCTTGGTGCTACTGACGGTTGAGGCTGGATAATTCTTTCTCATGGGGCATTGTACCATGTAGTGTAGAATGCTTAATTGCAACCCAGACCACTCTCCTCTGGATGCCAGCAATAACCCCACTCCCCAAGTTCTGACCATCAAAAATATCACCAACAAAATCACCCCTAGATTAAAAAAATCCACTGGTTTTCCTTTTACCCTCAAACTTCCCATTCTGGGATAGCTTCTCTTCCTGGTGGCCGAGGCTAACTAATGCAGAGACCAGGGCGCCAGGCAGGACTTGGTTGATTGGATTAAGCACAACTGGTTGAGCTCTAGACGACAAGACTCCAACAGAACTGAGAAGACTCAGGTGCCTGGGACGTTCACGTTCTTGTCTGGGAAAGTTCATGAAGCTGGGCTCACCCCCCCAGGAGATCTCAGATTGGGATTGAAAGTATGAGGTTTGCTAGTTTTTCTCCTGCTAATGCCCGGAGCTTATATTCTATAGGTGATTTACAAATTCTTTCACTGTCATTATAGCCCAGCCTGAAGTTGAAGGTTATCTGTCAGAACTAGTTCCCTGAACTTGAGCTTGGATCCTTCAGCTTTATTTATCTAATTTTTTAAATAAAGAAGACATAGATGAAGAAGGCAGAGGACTTTCCTGGTTGCTCAGTGGTTCTGAGAGATTTGCCCAACTAGCTCCAGTGGTGGAGAAGCTGAGCCCCAGAGAGAAGTTGAGAGCAAAAGTCCTGTAACAATAACATAGCAGTTCGCTTACGTAACTTTCTGCTTTTACCCGAGCAAATCTGAAATATCGTATTGAAAAGGATCCCAAGGGTTGATAATGTTTTTCAGATATAGCTATTGGGGGTGGGGATAAGTGAGTTCTTTGTTTTGAAACCAGTGGAAACAATTCAAAATGCATTAAAAATACCAAGTGTATTCAGTTGAGGGTGGGGTCTTTAGTTGAAAATACACACTTAGAGTTGTTCTTTAGTTTTTTTCAATCTCATACAATTTCCAGATGCCCTGTCTAGGATAACTTAATGTTATACCTGCAACTTATGTACTTGTCCTGCAATTTATCTCAGTGCCTAAAATAAAATAAACACAAATTTGCATGGCATTGCTAAGTAAGTTATTAATCTTATTTAATTGGATTACAATATTGGCAAAGAGAATTAAGGTAAGCTGCTTTTAAATCCACTTTTCCAAGTCAATGACACGGTGTGCCGTGGAATCACAGTATCCTTATTTAACAAATCTTTACAATATCATCTTTAAGAAAGATTTAGTGTCATTTGTGCTGACCTTAGATGATAACTTCTTTGTGAGAAGCAGAAGCAGTCTTTTCCCTGGCCAAGTCTCCAGCCATATGGACCTTAACAAGTCCCTTGGCAATTTCTACTAAGCAGAATGGAGGGATTTTTGGTCTGAACTTGTGTGTGTGTGTTTTAAATATATTTCTGATGTAAATTGTACTCTAAACTTTTCCCTGATTCTAATTTTTAAATATAGTGAATACTGTTTATATGGAAACAGAAGCCACTTAAAAAAGAAGAAATATGTGTCACAGAACAGTCAGGGAAGAAAGATGTGTTCATCGTTTCTTGAATGTGGAATAGCTTTTGAAGTAATTATTTTTTTAATATTATAGATTAAAACACATCAGATCTTTTGACAATTATAGTGAGAGGTCACGGCAAACTGAGAGGTACCAGGGTTAAAAACTCTGCAGAGGAGGCAGAAAAGCACTCTGGTCAATCGGGGTCTATTTAGACAGATAAATGTATTTGGAAGGATTAACGCTAAACTTATCTGTCCATTTCCAAAGTAAGTAATAAATGATGGCCACCTCCGTAAAAATACACACAGAATTTAGAATTAACAGTTAATGATTCATCAGCTGCTATTAAAATTTCACTTAACAGTAGAATTGATGAATGACAGCATTTGGGGATCTCTCACACATCAAATTTATAAGGAATTTAGCTAAATATTTCTACAGATCAGCATATAACTTGGGTAAAAGCCTTCTTCCCTAAGAGCAAAAAACTTTATTTAAAAAGAAATTTTAAAATTCCTCTTACCCCTCTTTTTCTAGGACTCAGGAATTTCCCCTATCAACTTGTCACACTTTATTTCCAGTTTCAAATTCTGTGATTAGAAAAACTTGTATATTTTAGCTTTTATGTATGAGGACCAAAACAAGCTAAATTATGCTAAGAATAGTCTAAGGTACATCAACGTGTGAAAAACCTTCAGCAAATGAACTGAGCTGTGAAAAATCACCTGGCTTTAACCATTATTCAAGTTTGAGTCATATTCTCTGCAACACAAGCATGCTAAAAAATCTTCCTCAGCAAATTCATCAGTCTTGGATGTTTCACTTTATATGGTGATGAAAAGACAGATAATCTGGCAATGTAGTCCCTCCAAAAGCTGATTCCAGCTTGGAGTTGGGTTCTGGCTGCTTCTGTCTAAGAGAGATCAGAGAGCAGGAGACCCAGGGAGGGAAGGATGGGCCAGGGAAGGGCCGGGGAGGAGTCCTACTCACCAGCACTGCAGGTCTAGCCGCTGAGTAGGTGGCAGGGCCACTCACTGCAGAATCCACAAAGTAGCTCATCATGCCGTCAGCACCTGCATGGGAAAAATCACTCACTGAGCTACTGGGCGAAGAACACGAATGGATGAGAAACCAAAGAAGGCCTCGGATGAGATCTCCTTAGAAGCGTCGAGGTCACTTGTTTGTGTTACAGAGAAAGAAATGGAAATGTAGAAAAACAAAGAGGGGGTTTCCCTGGTGGTCCAGGGGCTAAGAATCTGCCTTCCAATGTAGGGGAAGCTGGTTCGATCCCTGGTCAGGAAGCTGCCCCACATACTTCAGGGCAGCTAAGCCAAGGCACCACAGCTCCTGAGCCCGAGAGCTGCAACTAAGACAGGATGAAGCCAAATAAATAAATAAATATTTCAAAAGATAATTATAGAAAAACAAAGCGACCAACAGGGAGTAAGGCCAGCTCCTGACTGCAAGATGGCCTGAATGGTGGTGCCTACTGCAGACAGTAAGCACTCAAAGACTACAAAAAGACCCTTTAGAGAGCTCCTGGGCAGGAATAGGTCTTTTAAAGTCACTTTCCCATCCCTGTATCTCACTCCCTCCACCCCCGACCCCGGCCTGGCCCTCCACATGCAGTGCGGCATTTATAAACTGGTGAAGGACCAAATAGAGCAAGGGTAGGAGAGAGGCGGGGTGGAAAACCTTTACTAAGAAGGCAGGACAACCAGGACCCCGAGACAGATAAACAGAGAGAAGCCCCAAAAGGGAATGCATGTTACCAATTTCACAAAGGAGAAGGGCTATTATTAAATAACTCTTGTTGAGAGCCATTATCTCCATTCAAAGTCTGAATGACCATCACACTTGAGGAATGTTCTGGCTAAAGGGATTTTGCAGCTAGCTGTCAGTCATCAGGAAAATCATTTATATAGCAAACATTTCTGTTGATCCAAACACTCTCTAAAGTACACTAGTCCATACACTTTCATGAGTTCAATATTACACATTTTAAAAAATGTCTTTCTTGAATGATTTAGAAGGTTAAATTCCTGTGTATGTCTTTCAGAGGCCAAATTCCTATTGTTAGGGAGTGACATTTGCGTTTCAACTTAGCTCCTTTCCACTTTATATTTGTCTGTCCTTTTCCTTTATTCTTGAGGACAATTAAAGCCACTGACCTCCTTTCAAGAAATATCAAGAATAATGTAGGTCTTATGCTCAATTTGCAACTCTGTTCACCATCTGGATACAGCTTGACAGCAAATGAGCACATACATCTTCTTTCATATGATGTGTATTTGGATAACATAGATAAAGTTCTACACTGCAAAGTTGTACTGACTAAGGTCTACCATCACACAGCAACTACTTTCACACAGTTGAGAAAAAAGTTAAAAATCTTCTGAAGACATAACTTATCCCAGAACTGTGCTTATTGTGTTTAACTAAAATATCACCTTTAAATGATGTCTTTTCTCCTCAAAAGTAGGATGCAATCAAAATAGTATTAATTTTAAAAATGTAAAATAGCTAAGGGTAACTATGTTCATCAGGCTTCCCTAGAGGCTCAGTGGTAAAGAATCTGCCTGCAAGTGCAGGAAGCATGGGTTTGATCCCTGGAGAAGGAAATGGCAACCCACTCCAGTATTTTTGCCTGGGAAATCTCATGGACAGAAGAGCCTAGTGGGCTGCAGTCCATGGGATTGCATAGTCAGACACAACGTAGCAACTGAACACCAACAATTATGTTCATCAAGATACTGTTTTCTAGTTTTTTCAGGGACTTGATTGCAAAAAAATGGCTCCCAGGAGGAACTCCCAGGTGGTAGAGCTGAAGAATTGGAAAAGATTGAATTACTCTAGTCCAAGGAACACTGTTCCCACCTGGAGTTGGAGTTGTGGTCCCCTATTCAGCGTCTGCTTCTAAAAACAGTGAGCAGCTAGCAAATATCAGATTCTGCACTAGGGGAGAGGGCCTGGTCAGCGTGGACACAGCCCATATAGTGTACAGAAGTGCTCCTGCTCTTCATCTCAAATTCAAATTTTAAAGTCCTAATGAGTCATCAACCATCCTCACTTCAAATTTTTATATCTACTCATAGACAAGATTTAAAAGTTGACAAAACAGATTGTGTTATACTGACAATGGCTTAACCAAGATCTGATTCCTTAGGGAAAAGTTGCCCCATCCCTCCAGGGTCCCGAAAGGCAACCTAAATCTTAGGAGAATGTCCAGGTGTGGAGAATGCTGCTTTTTGTAAGCCATCTAGCCCTCAATTTCCTCCAGAAAGCCCCCGGTGTCCCCTGAGTCATCACAGATCTCAATTATTTATTCAACAGGCACATCAAGGCTTCCTCTGCCAGGAACTTGTTAATCATTCAGTAAATAGCTACTCTGTGCCTCCTGGGCACCAGGCACTGTTTTGGATGCTCAAGACACACAGGTAAACAAAGACCCCTCCCTTCTATCCGACTTGGGATAAAGCTGAGAAGGCTGGATCTCCATCTGCAGGCAGTGGAGAAGACAGACTCATGGAGAACTAGAATACAAGATGACGAGGAGTTTACCTAAAATACCGAAAACAGTTCTGCCAAAGCCTGGGGAATAGGAAGCCATGGAAGACTGCACAGTGTACTTGGCCTTATGGATGGTCCCCGGACTCCACAAACAGGGGCAAGTCTTTGCCCTTCTGAATTCTTTTAGACTTAGACATTTGTAAAAGAAATGCTTTGGGGATCAGCTGCCTTATCCTGAAGCCTAGCTCAAAGGCATCAAAAACAACACTCTTCCTCCTACCAAACTTCCACGTAGCTGGGAAAAAGGTTTAGTGGAAATGTGTTTTCTCTTTCCGATGGAGAGAGAGAGTGAGTAACCCCATGGCCCCACACAGGGTCCAGCCTGAGCTGGCCTGAATTCATGAAGCTTCACTCTCCGTGACTGACACTCCCTTGGGGAGAAGCCCTTTGCCCACAGAGGAAGCTGGAAAGAGGGAGTTGCCAGGGCTCTAGAGGGCTCTCATCTCAGGAAATAACTCTGGGACAGAAATGGATGACCGCTTCATTATTTTTTGGAGAAAGACAAAAAGAACCCTCCCTGTTTCCACTTGTGGATGGTGACAGAGACCAGCTGCTGTAGACGTAAATCCTTTCAGAAAAAGCTCAAGGACTGTGTGGGGGCAAAAAAAAAAATTGACATGTTGGCCAAGGAGAATTCCCTCCTACATGACAGCTATTTGGATATCGGCTGGACCAACGTTTTTGTCTTGGCATTATAAACGTTTCTGCCTAAACACAAAACAACTGTGTGAATTCAGCTTTACTCCCCAGCCTAGAGGCATCCATGGGCTTGTGTGAATGCAGAAATGGTTTGAATTCTTGGTAACAGAGGGCAGAGGAGAGCTGAGCTCACTTCCTTGAATGGGAGCCTCAGTGCCCAAGCAGCCAAGCAAAAGTGTCTGCAGCGACTTTGTGCTCAGGAGACAGTGGGCTCCCAGCTTTGGTCCACCCCAGCCTCCAGGCCCACTGCGGCCCCGTTGCTCACCACCCCACTGCCCTAGCCCACCACTAACCCACCCGCCACCTCGCCTGTCCATCCTCACCACCCTGGACTTTCAGGATGAAAATGGGCATGCCATGCAGAGGGAAAAAACACAGCAGATTGGTTTATGTGGGCATCTTGCGTCCAATAAAATGCTCTGGGACTCTGGGGACCCTTGGTTCTTCCTAAAGCATGTGATGGCCTCTGGAGTCCCACCCTCCACAAGTCCTGAGCACAGGCTGACACTGGCTTCCATCTGGGTCACTCTAGGTGCAGGCTGGGTGACACAGGGCAGGAAGGGAGGCGGGGGACTCAGAGGGGTGTTTCAGGCCAAGGCAGCAGGAGAGCAGGGGGCCCCGGGGAGACCAGGCCCAGTGGAGGCTGAAACCAGCTCCCCTCAACTCTGCCCCCTGCTCTGCTCTGCTTCTAGGTGATAGCTGTGATGTCACTTATGGTTTTCATTGGGATTATTATTTTGGTGTTGCTGTTGTCTTGCAACCCCATGGACCACCGCACACCAGTCTGCCCTGTCCTTCACTATCTCCTACCCCATGGACTGCAGCACACCAGGCTCTCCTGTGCATCACTATGTCCAGAGGTTGCTCAAATTCGTGTCCATTGAGTCAGTGATGCTATCTAATTATCTCATCCTCTGCCGCCTCATTTTCCCCCTGACCTCAGTCTTTCCCAGCATCAGGGTCTTTTCCAATGAGTCAGCTCTTCACATTAGATGGACAAAGTATTAGAGCTTCAGCTTCAGCATTAGTCCTTCCAATAAGTATTCAGGGTTGACTGCCTTTAGGATTAACTGGTTTGATCTCCTTGCAGTCCAAGTGAGTCTCAAGAGTCTTTCCAGTACCACAATTTGAAAGCATCAATTCTTTGGCCTCAGCCTTCTTTATGGTCTAACTCTCACATCCATACATGATTACTGGAAAAATCATAGCTTTGACTATACGGACCTTTGTTGGCAAAGTGATGTTTCTGTTTTTTAATATGCTTTTTAAAAGCCAAAATTAAAGTGCTACCAACAAATCCACTGTGATTTAAATTTGACCTTGCCTTCTGGTCTTTGTGTTAGTATTCTAGGTCAAGAATTATGGCTATAACATACCCAGGGTAAGAAGACTACACATGAGACATCCAGAAGTATAAGAAAGCTGTCACAGAAAATATAGATGATGCAGGTTTTTCCTTTTTTTTTCTTTTGCAAATTGTGCATAATTTAAATAAATTTGCAATAAATGTTTCTTTTAATATCAACAATTTAGAGTTCCCATATTCCAAGCATACCCTGGAATGCAGGGGAAAAAGAATTTGGCTTCCAACAGGATTAGTCGTTCAAAAGATACTTTCCCTAAACAATAGAACCTTTGCCAAACTAAGGGCTTCCCAGGTGGCTCAGTAGGTAAAGAATTCTTCTGAAGTCCAAGAGACCCAGGAGACATGGGTTTGATCCCTGGGTCAGGAAGATCCTCTGGAGAAGGAAATGGTAACCCACTACAGTATTCTTGCCTGGGAAATCCCA